TTAGACATGGAATGGAAATGGCCCTGGGCTGGAAGTCTGGAGATCCTGGTCAGACACTAGTGAGCCATATGATCAGTGATTTTGTCTTTCTGGGTTTTGCTCTTTTCATCTTTGAGAGGAATGAGGGAGTGAGGAAGGAGAAGAAATTGATTGAGTTACCTCTGCTGGGTCAGGTACTGTGCTACATGCTCCAGATCCTATCTCTTTTATGTTCACAATAATCCCCAAAGCAAGCATTTATCCACATTTTAGAGATAAGAATACCCTGACTGACAGCCAATTCTAGCCCATTCTGCAGTGCCCTGATAGCCTCCCTACAAGGGAAGCGTAGTTACATGTTCGGGCTCCCCCATTTCCTGGGGTCTGTCACTCATCTCTGGCCCCTCCATTGGACAGATGATAAGTCTGGAGTGTAGAGAAGTTGCCAAATCACTTAGGTAGTTATTGGCAGAGAGTGCTTATAACTGCTTTTCATTTCCTTCTGTTCAGCAAAGGCAGGGAATAAAGGGATGACTGGCTGAAGACCACACACTTTTGTTTACTAGGTGATGGTGTAAAAATGAAGACGGAGATCTCTCTTCACTTCAGTTTGTTAAACAATTTTTAGTTTATAGAGCCTGGAGGGTCAGGGAGGGAGAGTTTAGGTTAGGCTTCTGGTTGATTCCCTGGGAACTAGAATTTGCTCATGATGATCAAATCTTTAGTTATTTAACAAATATATCCAACAACCAACTATGTAAAAGACATTCATCTGGAGTTTCTGACCCTTATTTCACCTCTTAGAATATCCCAGACTAGTCGTTTAAAATGAACCACCCAGAATATTCCTTCTGTAAACAGAAATAACTCTTCTTTAGGAATTCTAGTCTTTGGCAAGGTTTTCATATATTATCTGCCTGAGTGGAGAAAGTCGAAGTCCAGGTGATCTAAAAATAGTTTCTGTGTACTTTTCAAAGCAGTACTTTCATTTTTTTCCACAGTAGAAATACTTTCCTAATTACCCTGAATACTGTTAACGCCTTTTATTGTTTCCCACACATTAACACCTTGATTGATTGTCCTGCTAACCTGGTGAAGAAGATAGGGCATATATTATGCTATCCATTGTGCTTATGAGAAAACTCAGACATAAAAAATGAGCAAATCGTTAGGCCAAGATCACATAACCTAATAACGAAGGGCTGACACTAGGAGGCAGGAGTCCTTCTTTGTTTGGTCTCTCAATGATTAGCATCCAATTTAGGTTGATAATATAAAAGTACTTCTACCTGGGGTCATACCAGAGCACAGGAAAATATGGAGTCATGGGCTGCTAGTCCCCATTTACTACGTAAATCTGAGCATGGAGGGGTTACTAGCCTTGTTCCTGTGCCCCTACCTTATTTTTTAAAAAAATAGTGCTAACAAAGGGCCAGTGAATGGATGATTTCAGCTGGTGACCCCAGTTTCCTAAGCTCTAGTCCCAGCCTTACCATTCCCCCACCTCTCTAAACCATGAAAACAAAGATGGCACCCAAGTCAACTACAGTTTTTTGAATTGCTTTCAGCCAAAGATTTGAAAGCTCAAGACACCAGATCACAAATATTATACAAAGAGAATCCCAACAACACAGGGACCCGGAATGCTAATGTCACCGGGGATGCTCTGAGCTTGCAGATCAAACTATAGTTGGCTGTAATCATACTATAAAGAAGCTCCTATAAAAATAACCTGTCTTTACAGCTAGTCAAACCAGTCCCTTCACATCGTGGAGAAAAGCTGGCCCATTCCACTCACTGTCCTCCCAGTACCTGCCTCGCTCTTTCTTCTCTTGATGCTACTTTGGCCCTCCCTCTTTCCTATTCGAATTTTGCCCAGGACTTAAGGTCTAGCTAAATCTTCCCATCCCTCTGTGAGATTACTGACTTCCCAAATGCAGCATCTCCTTCCTCTTTGGAGCATCTTATTTAGCCCTGTAGGGAGTTAGTCTCTCTGTGGAGTTGTTAGTCTTGTTGCTCTCACATTGGGGTCACTCACTGGATTAAGAGCTCCTCAAGTGTGAGAATGTGACTCTCGCTTTTTGTGCATCCCCTGCACCCCCCTACCACCACCCCCCAGTGACCAACATGATGCGTCACATCTCTGGGACATGTGCTATACAGTTGCTGGTTATTGATGCCAGGTGGGATACAGAATCCCATGTTGCCCAGCTATTCACAGAATGTGTGTCTGTAACCACCCTACTTACAATTTTGAGCATCCCCATTACCCCTGGTGGTAGGGTTGCTGGATTTAGCACATAAAATTATAGGACACCCAGTTAAATTTGAAATTTAGGTAAACAATGATATTATTTTTAGTATAAATATATCCCTTATTTATTTATTTATTTAGTTAGTTATTTGCGGTACACGGGCCTCTCACCGCTGTGGCGTCTCCCGCTGCGGAGCACAGGCTCTGGACGCGCAGGCCCAGCAGCCATGGCCCATGGGCCCAGCCGCTCCAAGGCACGTGGGATCCTCCTGGACCGGGGCTCGAACCTGTATCCCCTGCACCGGCAGGCAGACCCCCAACCACTGCGCCACCAGGGAAGCCCCCTCCTCTAATTTTTTAAAGTTTAAAATTTAAAAATGTTATCTGACCTGTACTTGGGCGACGCACCTTACTGGCCTCACCTAATCCTGGCCCTGTCAGAGCTTGGCTTTATTTAAAGTTTTGATAATTGTTCAGCATGGATTTTTTGGCATTAATTTTGAGTTTTTAAACTATTGCATTAAACTATTGTTTACCTTGATTCCTGAGTTCTTTGATGACCCCTTACATTTTATACCTGAGGCAAGTGTCACTCCTCTCACCCTGGTCCCAGGTCTTCTGTCATCCTCATGGTCTCCTTTGTAAATGGAGATAATGATATGTCACTGACAGGATGCAATGAGCCCTGTCTGACACAGTATTTATTCAGTAATTATTTTGTGTATTCACACTGTCTTGACTTTTTTTACATTGGAAAGTTCAGTGACCCAGTCTGCTTCTCTCATAGTCACATTTTAAAACAAGCTCACAATTGTTCATTTTTCAAAGTAAGTTTTTAATTACTCTCCTATATGGAAAGGGCTTGAGAAATCTGTGGTTCCAGAATGATTGTGGTCCAGACCCTCGTAAAACTGCCCACGTTCTGAAGGCAGACGTCCTATTTGCAAGGAGGAAACCAAAGAGAAAAGAAAGCTCTGGCTGCTAAGCTGGTGTCACACCTGACTATGGAGAGCCAGGGCACTGAAGTCACACTCGCTATGTGACAGCAGTCCTTAGAAGATTAAGCAGCACATTGTTTTTCTCCATATACTTTTGTTTCCTTTTAGCTAATTGTATGCTGATATTTCAAAGTTGTAAATGTTGGTCACTTTATTTTAAGCTCTTTCTACCTACAAAACTTCAGAGTGTACATCTGAGAGGGTCAGCATTTGAGTTTAGGGAGTGGAAAAATGGTGATGGGGATTTGTAGGGTTTAAATGATTAAAAATATGCACATATGCTCTGGTTTTGGCTTTTTTATGAAAAATCCTATAGGATTACACATTGACCATTCATTCAAGAAAAAATGATTAATTAAACAAGTTGTAGAAAAGATTGCCTGCTTTAAATCTAGGTATATGTAAATCGGATGTGTATGTATCAGCCTTATGCATCCAGGATTTTGCCATTGGAAGAGAACATTTAGAAATCTGTCCGATGTTAATTTCTGTGGATCCTCAAAATACATTATCCCATGAGGCACAATTTATGACCTGCGATCTCATTTCATCATATACACAAATTACTGCAGAGACCTACTTGGTTTTACAGAGTCTGAGTAAGGAACAAGAATTGGCCTGCCACTAGGACCATAAATAAATAGATCTGTAGGGTGTTTGACTAAAGTTTAGATAATTTAATAGATTTGACAAAGATTCTGAGAACAATTTTCTCTTCAGAGGAAGATAATGCCATCCATAAAGTTATATAGAGCTTTTTATCCATGGGAATCTTGTTGCTGTTGTGGTTTTAAAAAGATAATGGAGGTTCTGTTTGATTTGGTTTTAATTGTGTTACTACAGCAATGAAAAAAATAGAAAAACAAAAGGGAAAACAGAAACTAGTCAAAGTTCCAAACTTCCACTGAATAATTTATCAAGATTATTATTATCTTTTGCCTTTGCCTCTGCTTGTTACAGTCATAAGGGAAATTTTCCTTGTGACCTCAAGCTGTGGGTTCCTTATTATCATGTTTAGCATTCCACTGCATGGCAGAACAAAGATTAAAACACTATGTTTTCTAGTAAAACATCTCTTTTGATTTTGATACAGAAGTTACAAAAAGGCTTGTGATATATTGGTATAAAATTCTGAATTCTGATCGTTTACCTTAAGTTTCTTTTCTAATTTAGTTTTTATCTAAGTCATATTCTATTCAGAAGTGTGCTTACATAATAGAGAAACACAAAACATTTGTATTTGAAGGCAATAACAAAACATGCTTGTGTTTACTTAATTGCTGAATGTCTGGAGAAGGGAAGAAAACATAGATTTGCATGGAGTTGAATATGGACGTACGTTTAACCATCTTGAGAATGTATTGATTTCATCAATTTTTACTACAGAGAAAATCAGCTTTAGAGACCAAGTTGTATTAGCTGTGTATTGAAGAGAACCATTTTTTTTTTTTTTTGTGGTGTGCGGGCCTCTCACTGTTGCGGCCTCTCCCGTTGTGGCGGAGCACAGGCTCCGGACATGCAGGCTCAGTGGCCATGGCTCATGGGTCCAGCCTCTCCGTGGCCTGTGGTATCTTCCTGGACCGAGGCTTGAACCCGTGTCCCCTGCATCGGCAGGTGGACTCTCAACCACTGCGCCACCAGGGAAGCCCAAAGAGAATCATTTTAAAAAAATGGCTTCAACTCTACAACACAAGTGTGTTTCTGAATTTTTTTAACCTTTAATGTCACTAACATTGAATTTTTCTAAATCGGAAATTATTTCTCTTTTCTTAATAGACTGGAAGAAAAGAAAAAGGAGATCCTCTAAACATTGCAATTGATAAGATGACCAAGAAAACAAGGGATCTAAGGAGACAGGTACTGTTTTTGTTTTTATTTTAGGTTCATGGTACTTAGTGGTGGTTTTCTGAGAATGTCCTTTTCCAGGGTGCTGTGTTAGAGCTGATGTTCAGCTCGCTATTCTTTATAACATCTACATATACACAGAAACTTTTCAACAACAACTTAGAGTCTGCTGAACAGAGAGAGATGTGACAGGTGCAAAGGGTGTGATGATGAAAATAATTCCTGAGGTGAGGGAAGGTGGGGGAGAGCCCTCTCACTGGCCAGACACAATCTTCCCAGGTGGAGAGGTGATGCATTCTCTGTCTTCTTCATCTGGTTTTCAGTTTTTCAGACCCAGGGGTGTAAAGAACCAGCCTCTGATTTCCTCTGGGTCTTAAACTCCCAAGGCAATCAGTGAATAAACAAGAATGCCAATGGTTAATGAGAAACACGACTCTTAATCTGATGGGCTAATTAAGATCTCTGACCCAGTGTATTTCCTCAAAGATATAAATCTAGGGGAAAACTTGCTTATCATATGGTTGTTTGGGAAGCAGGGAACCAAAGCAAGGAAAGGCAGTTGGATGATTTAAATGGCTAATGGCATCATTTGTCTGAAGGGTCTATGTTGGGGGAGGGGTGAGAAATCTCTAGTCAGGGCCCCTTTTCATCTTGAAAGTGCTACATGAACACTAGTACATGTTGTCTATAAGACAGTAAGTCTTATTTTATATGTTGCCGTGGTGAGCTTCACTGTCTTCTGTCTCTTCTCTAGAAGAGACAATACCATCCATTAAGTTCCCAAAGAATTCCTTCATGATTTCTGCCTGAGAGGCATCCTGTCTCCTGCTGGTAGCTTTTGCATATATCCATCTCATTAAGTGTTGATTGTGTTGGTCATCTGGAACCAACCACAGCCCTGGGGTAACACTTGCTTTACTTTCTCCATCTGGAAAAGCTGGACTGGCAGGGATGCATCATCTAACACTCAGTCCTGCAGTTTGTCAACTGCAGTTTGTCAAGTACAGACAAGATTAGCAAGGTGCCTGGGCAAGAATAGCCAAGGAGCAGCTTAAAAAATGGTTTGAATGAGAGGAAAACACCACTTCAAATCACTGCTGGGGAGCTTCTGAGCTCTCTTCAGGATGTCACCAGAAGGTATAGACACACTTGAGCTAATGTCCTCTAGAAGGTACCACAATTAGTTCTGGGATATGAAGACTCTAGTCTGCCCAGCTAACAAGCCCTTTGGGGGAAAGCATTTTCTTTTTATTTTACCTTGAAAAAGGGAGAATAAAACATTGCATTCTTAGGCATTATTAGGTAATACTCAAAGAGCTGTATGGCCAGGTCTGCTTCTCCTTGCCCTCTTAGACAATCTTTCCATACAAAGCCCCCATATGATATGAAATGATACTGCTAGTAGGGATTGGGATTGGGGTTGGTGGAAAACAGTGAATCAGGTGTCTGAAGCTCAGGGTTTTACTTCTAGCTCTGCCACTAAACTGGCTGTACGACTGTGGATCCTTCATCTCTTGGTCTCCGTCTCCTATTTGTAAAAGTAAGAAGCCAAACTGGGTCTGTAAGCTATCTTTGAATGAGTCCATTTATTTTCTCTGCCAGAGGTCCTAATGCCAGATAACTGCTGGTTTTAAAAGCAGTGGGAGGGCATCAGGCATCTCCTCTAAGGTTTGCCTTTGGCTAGATTGTCAACGAGGTAAAATCCATGAACCGAGTCTTCCCTCCCCCTCTAGGTCTTAGTAGAGACCATTCTTTTACATCTGGAGCCAATACCCTTAAGTTCTCTGCACTCATGGACCTATCATAGGAATTTTTTTCTCTCATTAGGAAGGAATGGATAAAGTAGTTTTCACCTTGGTGTTACAATTATCAATAAAGTGTCGACTTTTTTAGCTGCAGACAGTGGTGAAATTTGAAGGTGGATTCATCGTGGAATTTTAAAGCTTTGGTGACAAGATCCTTGGGGAGCTTCTTTTAGGGTGGCAGTAGAAGGAATATGTCATCCCCTCAAATCATTCCATGTATAAGATTTTTTTATTTTCTGTTCACATTTCCCAAAGATTGAGAGGAATAAGGGTAAAAGAAAGTTGTTTTATGATATTCAGTTCCAACAGTTATGGCATAATTTCACACCACATCCCTGAATGTGGTTCAAACATCCTTCTCTTCCCCAGTATGCTTTCTAGAACTAAGATGGTCCTCATCTGTCAGTTCCATCCCTATCTATATGTTGGAATATTTTAATCTGTTTTTTTCCCATTTCTTCTGTTTCTCCATGTATACCTGTACTGGTACAAAAGCTTCTCTGAGCTAAACAGAAGCTACCTAGCATTTCTGCAGATGGAACAAGCAAGGAGTCTGATTAGCTTGGCTCAGTTTAGAGGTAGGTAGCTAGTTAATTGGATTAAAAAAAGTTTTATCTGAGTTTTCTGATAGCAGCTATGTGGTGGCCTGGTGAATGCTAATGGTTCAAATAAATGAAAACTGGAACACTTTCTGTTCCTTCAATTACGGACAGGCCTTTGTTAGAAAAGATTCAAAATGAAAACCCTCAGCTATCTGGCTCCACTTCCCCGTACACCTATATTTCTTTATACAATATTTAGAGAAATTAAGTCACATAGGGAAAAATGCGGAAATCAAAGAAAAATATTTCTAGTGACTTTCATAAGTTCCCACTCTTTCAATTTTCTCCCTTTTCCTCATAGCCCTAAGGTTGGGCAGTGTTCTTCAGAAGGTGACCCTGGAGTCTTGCAAAGCTGTAGTCACCAAATTAAAAAATAAAGTCAATTATGATTATTACTTTGAACTTGCCTAATGAAAGTGGACTTAAATTTGTAAACACGTGAAAAAAAATCAAGTAATTGAATAAAAAGGATTTCTGTTTAAGTAGAATTTTGAACCAAGTAGAAGTCCCTTTTTTCCAGGCAGTATGTCCCAAGGAACTGGAGAGTCATAAATTGTGAAAAAGTTTGCAGGAACCCAAGGGCGTTATTTCAGCTGATTGGCATGGATCCATCTTGCCAATTAAACCCATGAGAGTGGGCAGTGGTAGAACAGAATCCTTTTAAGAGTATTTTGTTTGGAATTAAAAATGGATTTAGGGGAACATAACTGCCAGCTTTAAGCATTATGTTTTAATTTTAGAGCTGTGGGCACAGTATGCCCCATGTCTGAGATACTGTCACTGCTGTGATTCTGGAATCAGCCCATTATAAGAAAAAAAGCTTTTGGCCGAGTCCCTGCCTGACCTAGTAGCCCACGCGGTCTATCCATCCCTTAGAGAGGGCCCAGTTGGTGTCTGCCAGCTGTTCCTCGATGTCCTCCTTCTATGTGCCACTTCTGAACTATTCTAGGCATGGTCTCGATTTTCCTCAAGCTTACAGTGACGCTGGTTTATCCTGATTATTATTTTGGTCCTTGTATTAGTCTTTTTTCCTCTCCCATTGCGGAGCACAGGCTCTGGACGTGCAGGCTCAGCGGCCATGGCTCATGGGCCCAGCTGCTCCGCAGCATGTGGGATCTTCCCAGACCAGGGCACGAACCCGTGTCCCCTGCATCGGCAGGCGGACTCTCAACCACTGCGCCACCAGGGAAGCTCAGTATTAGTCTCTTTTTTCCCCCAAGTTGATAAGCAAATCAGGACCCAGATGTTTTCCTATGAGAAGCTAATAAATAGTAATCATAACATGTTAGTGTGTTGCTAAACTTAACAACTCTCTCATTCCCCAAACCAATCAATGGACTAATTCTTATTCCTTCACCCTTAATAGCCATTGTAATAATTCCTGCAATGAGATTCAGTGTGTCAACTTGTCAAAAGTGTCAATTTTGCTACCACAGTCAAAACATTTTCAAAAGACAACCAAATTGTGTATAGAATGCTTTTACATTGGGATGCATACTTAATAGAATGGATTATATAACAAAGGATTACAAACAAACAAGCAAAACATGCCACTGGGTGGCACATTAAAGGTTGATTTACCAAGATCCTGCCTCCAGATAGGACTACAGAAAAAGCTTCCAAGATTAGTAAGAAATAATTACAGCTGAAGATTCCTCAGCTGTCCCCTTTGTGACCCAATTCTGTATATAAGAACTGTGGCCAAAGGTGGGTGGGTAGTCATCAGCGAGACCTTGTCAAATCGCTGTCCACAAAATGTAAACTAAAAAATAGCTGACAAATATTGAGTCCTTACAATGTGCCAGGCACTGTTCTAAGTTCTCTCTACAAATGGGCCCCATTTAATCCTCATGCCAGCTCTGCGAGATAGAGCAGATTGTTACCATGTCCATTTTACAGATGGGGACGTGAAGCCAAGTAATGCACCCACGGCCATGCAAAGTATGGATTCATGGAGGTCCCAGTCCAGGCAGTCTGGCTGTGGGGTCTTGGCTCATAATCATTCCCCACCCTGCCAATCCATAGACCCAGTGGATACAGTTGGGTCACCCATATACTAATCTCCTTTGGGGGAGGCACCTGGGGAAGGAGGGTTCATATAATATATAGAGGTGCTTTGTGGTTTTCAACAGCACCTTACCACCATGGGGTTGGGGATGGGTGACATGTATGTACTTCAGACAGAAGAAACGTCTGTGGTGCATGTCAAAAATAGGGTTCTTGTTTATGGTAGGTTATCATCTCTCAGGCCTCCAGCTGTTATGTTTCACTGGAACCTTTTTTTAAAAAGTGCTATTATGTTTAGGTAGCTGGCTTCTCAAAGAATGAATTAGAGACTTTCCAAAACATTTACAGAAAAAATGGAATTTTAAAGCATTCAATTCTTTTTCTCACATCTGCTGATGGGGCCAATTATTTTTAGATTCATTATAAGAAAACATTTTGAAATCACTTATTTCCAGACTTGAAGCTGCTTTCCTCATATGGATATGAAGCTATCTATATGGCTACAATTTAAAAATTATGAAATAAAATATTGATTTCCTCCAAATGTTAAGGTTTGTGTTCTTCACATTGAAAACCTATGTCGGAGCTAACAATCCCT